GTGTCGGCTGGGGAGGCAGAGGGGATGTTGGGGGGCTGCCTGGCTCACTGGGGGACCATCTCTCCTTCTCTGGCGTGCCTGTTTCCTGAGGAACAGCCTCAGGTGAGGACAAGGCCACACACGGGGACTGTCCCGGTGGATGGGGGACGATCCGTGGGCTGGTGGAGCTGGTTTTTTAAGGAGGGGAGTGTCTGTGGGTTCTGGGAGGTGCAGGGCTGTTTGCGCTGTGAGGAAGCAGCCGTGGGGTTCCTGGCTGCCTATGAATGATTTCCTCAGGACCAGGAGGTCCGGCTGCATGCTGTTCACTTAGTAGTAAAGTAGCTTGGAAAGCACCGGCTGTGTCCCGTTGTCTTTTGTCCCCACACCCTCAGCTCCCTGCCTGTCCAGCACCATCTCGGTGCGCTCACCCCACACCAGGAAGCCTGTCTTCTCCAGTGGCAGGACAAGGGACGGCGTGGGACTTGTAGCCTCCGTGCTCTGGAGCCACAGCCTGCTGGGACCCTGAAAGCGGCCTTTGCTCCTGGGGGATGCGGCGGTCCCTGGCACCCCGAGCTTTGGGTCCCCAGCTTCTCACCAGGGTCTTTCTGACTGCCTTTCGCTATGCCCCAGGCTCCTCCGAGCACCTCTTGCTGAGCCCCCGGTGGTCTTTGAGTGCCTTTGGGTGCACCTCTGGGACATTGTAGGACCTTTATGCTCTTCTCCGGGGCCTCCAAGTGCCTTTCAGCTTCTGAGGAGCACTGGGGTCTTCCAAGCGCATTGCAGGGCATACCTGGGGGCTTCCAAGTACAGAGCTCTGCTAGTCCCTTCTCCTGTGCAAAGGACCCAGGTGCCTTGCTGTTAGCCCCCGGTGGCCTCCAAGGGCCTTTCTGTGCTCACTGTGGTCCCGCGTGCCTTCTGGTGTGCTTAAGGGGACTCCATGTGCTTTTCTGTGCTGCCCAGATGCCTCCCGTGCAGCACCAGGGGACTCCGAGTTGCCTTCAGGTGTCCGCCACTCTGTGCTCAGTGCTGATGAACCAGTGCCTTTTGTAGTGCCCCAAAGGCCTCTCAGAGCTTTGGGGTGTAGCCCATGGGGCTCTGAGTCCATTTGGTGCACCTCAAACGGCCCTGCACGCCTGTCTGCTTCCCAGAGCTCTGCCAGTACCTTGTGACGCACATCTGGACCTACCGAGTCCCTTTGGGAGCACCCAAGTGCCATCCTTGCTCCTTTTGGAGATCGGCAGGGGAGATCCTGCAAGAGCCTTTTGGTTCGCCCTCAGGTGCCTTTTTCGTGCTCCCTGGAGGTCTGTCCGTACCTTCTGATGTACACCAGGACCCTCACCATCTCTCTGCATCTGCAAGAGCCTCCGAGTGAATTTTGGTGTCTTCAGGGTGTTTCTCATTGCGCTGCAGGGGCTTCAATGTGCCTTTTCTTGTGACACCCTCTCTGGGGCCTCTGTGGGCCGTTCTGTGCCCCCCAGAGGTCTACTGCCATTTGAGGCACCCCAAAGGCCCCAGGGACTGTCAGAGCCTTGGTGTGTCTCAGGACCACGTGGGAGTCTGCGATTGCCCAGGAGGATTGGAAGAAGGGTCACCCCAGCTCCCAAAGCAGCCAAGTCTTTTTATTAGGACAGTCTGGAGTGAGAGACACAAGCCCGGCCTCGGTGAGTGCCCTGGAGAGGGGGAGTCCCCCTTCCCTGGGCAGCCAACCCATCTGCATCCACGGTCAGCAGCACCCACCGCGTACGGATACACCGCATCTTCACGGCTGTCCTAAGATGTATCTACAGAAACATCATTGCTTCATCTTCTTCACAGGAGGAGCCTGGATGTCCAGCTGGGCAATGGTGCTGGTGGTGGTGAAGGGGCAGCACTGCCTGATCCTCTTGCCAGTGGTCTCCACCTGGAGCACAAGCCAGCAAGAGCCTAGGGGCACCAGCATGGCCCAGTAGATTCGTAGTCCAGCTCCTGGAAAAACACCTGAAGGGAGCTGCTGAGGGTGGGAACCAGGACTGAGAGCATCCCTGGACTGCAGGGAGCTGCTGATGGGAAATCCCACTGGTTGTGGAGGTAGAGGCTCTACAGGGCAGATCAGAGCTGAAGGGTGAGGAAGAAGCAGCCCCACAGGGGAGGGGAACGGGCAGAGCTGACATCTGAAAGGACTAGCCCCAAGGGCACTGAGTCCTTCCTACTGCCGTGGCCAAGGCTGGAGCATCTTACCTTGAAGATGTCTATGTGTAGCTGTACCAGTGCAGAAGATGATGGCACAGATGTTGCCACAGGTTTTGTAGGGGTCCGAGGCAACGCAGACCAGGCTGAGCAAGGGCTCGGGAGGAGAACAGCCAGCACAGCACATCTTCAGCGCCACCACCAGCTCCAACCTGTCCTTCCAGCTGTGGCAAAGGGCGGGCAGTGGCGACCAGGCAAGAGGGAAACCGGCACCGGCACAGCGGGATGCTTCTCCCAGGGACACACCTCACCGGGGACCTGCTCCAAGCCTCCACGCTGGGGACTACCAGTGGCTTGTGGTCCTGGCCAGCCCAGCTGTGCACTGGCCCTGCCCCCTCAGCTGAGGCGGTGGAGTGGGACATGGCCTGCACAATTGCTTCACCTTCACCCTGAGGCCCTAAGCGTGCAGGTAGGCACCCTCACCCATCCCGTGCCAGCTGATGGGGGTGCTGGGTGACTTCCTGGGCCAAGAGGGGAAGTTGAGCTGCACTGGGGCCCAGCCTGTACATCCTCCTCCTGCTGCTGTGCTGAGGTGGAGCTGCAGAGATCATGCCACCCATCGCATATGTGACTGAAGAACAGCTGCAGGCAGGGGAATGGTCTGGCTCAACCCTGTCCGGCCAGTACCTGGTGTTTCCCCGTGTCCATTTGGAAGGTGAAGCCCAACAGCATGAGCTTCTTGGCCCTGACGGTGTTGAAGAGGCAGGTGACAATGTGGGCAGCAAAGTGGTGGCATCAGCACCCGTTGATCTCGAGAACCTGGCAGGAGGTGCGGCAGCAGGTCAGGCCAGGAGCTGAGCTGCCAGGGCTGCGCCGCCTCCAGCGGCTGAGAGCCACGGAGACAGACCAGGTTGAGGACATCTTTCTGGAGATGGCCACCCCTCCAAACCTGCTCTGGCAGAGCACCATGGCCAGACAGCGCCAGCTGGGGACACCACAAGTTAGGGACGGTGACACTGCAAGCCTCCCCTCCACCTCCAGCATCCAGAGGGAGGTGACAAGCTGGAACCACCCCAGGGGCCACCAGGGATGATAGGGAACAAGCCAGCTGCCAGGTAGATCTGTCCCACCAGGCTAGATAGTGTCCCAGCCTGGATGGTGGTGTGCACCCAGGGACCTTCTTTGTGCTTCCTGGGACAAAGCAGCAGGGACAGCCTAAGCGCAGCACGTGGGCCCCGGAGGGGACGCTCATGGGGACAGACGGTGCAGGACCCACCCACGCCGCCCTTGAGGAAGCGGTTGGTGACGCCCTGGTCTGTGCCAGCGGCATGGGCCGCTTCCTCCATGTTGGCCCCGGTCACCTCACCCGGGATGCTGGTGGAGTTTGTGCTACTGATCCTCCGAGCCAGGAACGTGATGGCAGCCTGGGCCGGGGCGGTGTGTGGGACCCTCAACTGCATCTCCTTGTGCCAGCTGGGGGACAGGAGCACAGACCAGCTTGGAGAGCCCCGAGGACCAGGCATTGTGTTTTGGGCACCCAGTGCACGTAGGTGATGCTGAGGGTGTCAATGGGCCCCTCGAGTGTCTCACTGCTACCAAGGAGGACACAGTTTGGGATCTTCTGGTCAGAGGTGGCCTTCAGCCAGGACCTCGACAAGATGCAAGGGGCATGAGATGGCACGGGAACACTGCAGCCCCACATGCCCCTTTCTCCTGGTCTGTGCTGCCCATCAGCCACCAGTGTGATACCTGGGCCACCTTCTGCCACCCCGGAACCTGTGGTCTCCCAAGGTCCCTGCTTTGCACTGGGACAGGCTGGACTCGATGTTGGCATCGAAGAGCTGCTGGATGCTCTCACTGCTCGTGCCACGTGGGTCAACGAGCTGACCCTTGCTGCGTCGAGAAGGTCAGTGCCCTCCCCAGGGCAGGGTCTGGCCCCTGGGCAGGAGAGCTGGGTGCTGGTGGTGACCCCCTTGCTGCACCCAGAGCCTCGCTTACCTGGAGACGCCCAACCGCTGGGCACAGCTGGCTCTGCAGCCCAAGGCACCGCTCGAAGGTGACACGCCATGGCTGAGGGCAAGGCGCTGCTGCTGGCCAGGGCCACTGCGGGGGTGCAGATGTCACCCAGCCCGCAGGCTCCCCCA